CCCCACTACAGGCACCCTGAGAGGTAGGCAGGGAGAAGAGGAAGAGGAGGAGGAAGAGATTGGATTTATACTTCGCCCTTCACTACCCAAAGGAGTCTCAGAGCGGCTTACAAACTCCTTTCCCTCCCGCTTCCCAGAACAGACACCCTGTGAGGTAGGCGGGGAGGAGAAGAAGAAGAAGAAGGAGAAGGAGAAGAAGAAGAGGAGAAGGGGGAGGAGGAGGAGAAGAATGGATTTATATCTCGCCCTTCACTCGGAGTCTCAGAGCAGCTTACAATCTCCTTTCCCTTCCCCTCCCCACAACAGACACCCTGTGAGGGAGGTGGGGCTGAGAGAGCTCTCTCGTGGACTGCGCCTGAGAAGAAGAAGAGATTGGATTTAAACCCAGCCCTTCACTACCCGAAGGAGTCTCAGAGCGGCTTACAAACTCCTTTCCCTTCCTCTCCCCACAACAGACACCCTGTGAGGGAGGTGGGGCTGAGAGAGCTCTTGACAGAAACTGCTCTTTCTCAAGGACAGCTCTTATCAGAACTGTGGCTTGCCCAAGGTCATCCAGCCAGGTGCAAGTGGAGGAGTGGGGAATCAAACCCGGTTCTCCCAGATTAGTCCACACACTTAACCACTACACCAAACTGGCTCTCTTAGAGAGCTCTCTTGAGAACTGCTCCTGAGAGAACTGTGACTGGCCCCCAGCAGGCTTCACATAGAGAAAGAGTGGGGAATCAAACCCGGTTCTCCAGATTAGAGTCAGCCACTCTCAGTCATGACACCACGCTGACTCTTATTCAGCTCCTCCCCTCCCCTGACTGTCTCCACCAGGTTGCAGGAGGAGGAGAGAGGAGAGCCGGTAGGGGTGGCTCCTCTCCCAGAACTGTGTCCTGCCAGGTTACTGTTTAGGACTGAGTATCTGAAAAATTCCCAAAAACGATTTGTGAAACTAAGATTCTGGGGGACTCTAAGATTCGAGAATCACTAAGATTCGAGAGTCACCAGTTAGAGACCAACAAGATTCTCAGGATCTAAGCATCCGAGGGTCAAACGCTCCCTTTGTCAGACAGGGACTCAAAAAAGCTTCCTCCCTGTGGGTCTCTAAGGAGTCACTAGACTTGGTTTGCCACAGACCAACACGGCTACCCTTCTCAAACAATCTTCATGAGTCAGGGGAGGATCCTTCTGCCAGAGGAAACCACTCTTGAGAATACAGCTCTCACCTGGCTCTTGATAATTTGCAGACTACCTACAATCCAACTGAAAAACAAGACCACCCCAAGATGTCTCTCCCGTCTTATAGAGGCCATCCCACTCGCAATCTGGATACAGCAGACTGAACGAACCGGCCCAGTCCCACCCCCTTACCGTAACTCTTCTCTTCATCCTCTCTTTCGTTCTGCGTTTCTCCTTCTGGCAGCTTCTCTTTGTCTTTGTTGTCGCCATCTCCCGCCTTGTCCTTCTCCGGGTCGGTTTTGTTGACTTTCTGGTTCGCCCCGACCTTCGGCCCCAGGACGCGGGACTTCAGGCACGTGTACACCTCCGCGGCTTTCTCCATCACATCCTTGTTTGCCTTGTAGCGACGGATCTTGTGGTGAACACAGAAAAGCCGAGAATGAGCACGTGGTCTTTGGGAATTCAGAACGGCGAGTCTAACCGATTCCCATTAGAGCGTCGCATGAGAAGCTGTAAGACGACTGACCCCACTCTTCACTACCTGAAGGAGTCTTGGAGCAGTTTACCATCACCTTCCCTTCCCTTCCCCACAATACCTTGTGAGGTAGGTGGGACTGAGAGAGCTCTGAGAGAACTTGTGACTAACCCAAGGTCACCCAGCAGGCTGCATGTGGGGAATCAAACCAGGATCTCCAGAGTAGAGTCTGCCGCTCTTAACCACGACACCAAGCAGGTTCTTGAAGGGAAAAGGCTCTTCGAAGAGGCCAGAATGGTCAACAAACGAGTCTAGGTATAGCAGGGGCAGTTCCAGGTTGTGGGGGACCCTGGGCAGAGAGTGCCCGGGGGGGGGGGGCTCCAATGCTCCTACTAAGCTGTGAAGTCTTGCGAGCAAAAATTCTACTTGGTGAGCTGCTGGCATTACAGTTGTGAGCAGGTGATTTGGCTATGGCATAAACCAGTTTGCTCTGGAGCCCTCCTTCCTGAGTGGAGACAAAAGTGTGTGAGCCGGAGGCTAAAAAAACTGTGAGCTGGCTCACACTAAACTCAGCTTATAGAGGGAACACTTTGCTTACACCTCTTCCAGCCTCCACTCCCCTGGCCTGCTCGCAGACCCACTCATCGCCTGCCCTCTCACCTAACAGTAAGGGGCAGCGTGTGAGACAGGGAGTGCCGCCAGAAGCGCAGGCAGTTTGAGAGGCAGTTTGGTGTCGTGGTTAGGAGCGCGGACTCTGATCTGGGAGAACTGGGTTCCATTCCCCACTCCTCCACAGGCAGCTGCTGGTATGACCTTGGGTCAATCACAAGTTGTCTCAGAGCTATTCGCTCAAGAGCAATCCTCAAAAGAGCTTTCTCAAGCCCCACCTACCTCACAGGGTGTCTGCTGGGGGGAGGGGGAGGGAAAGGAGTTTGTCAGCCGCTCTGAGACTCCCTTGGGTAGTGAAGGGCGGGGTATAAATCCAATCTCCTCCTCCTCATCCTCCTCCCCTTCCTCTTCTTCTTCCTCTTCTTCATTTTTGTTTATCCCTTTCCAGACATTACCTCCATTACCTTCAAACCATGCATTGATCCTTCCAGCATACACAGATGTCATGCTGCTTGCATAGAGGAAATGCATTTATTTTCCATATCATTCTTGTTGCCCTATTCTGCACTTTCCCCAATATTATAATATCCTTTTTGAGGTGTGATGACCAGAACTGTACACTATATTCCAAATGAGGTTGTACCATTTATTTATACAGGGGCATTATGATACTAGCTGATTTGTTGATATCCACTCTCCCATCCTCGACAGATCCCTTTGGAGGGCCTCACAATCCTCCCTGGTTTTCACCACCCTGAACAATTTCATGTACTCCACAAATTTAGCCACTTCACTGCTTACTCCCAACTCCAAATCATTAATGAACAAGTTAAAAAGCATTGGACCAAGTACTGATCCCTGTGGTACCCTACTACTTACCACCCTCTCCTGAGAAAATTGCCCATTTATACTCACTCTCTGTTTCCTATTAATTAGCCAGTTTTTGAGTCCTCGAAAGAGCTCTCTCAAGCCCCACCTACCTCACGGGGGGTCTGTTGTGGGGAGGGGAAGTGCTGCCACTCCCGGGTTCTCTCAGCATGCTGTTCCTTGGTGGCATTTAGGAGAACAGTCAAGCCAGGGGCACCGGAGGAGGGCTTGTGGAGGAGGCAGGACGGGGGGGGGGGCAGAGAAAGAATGTGGGCAAGGGGCCATCCCCACTTCAAGGCGCGCTGACAGTGGCCCTGCCGGGCAGTGTTCCCTCTAAGCTGAGTTAGTGTGAGCTAGCTCACAGCTTTTTAGCCTCTGGCTCGTGCACTTTTGTCTCAGCTCAGGAAGGATGGCTCCGGAGCAGACTAATTTATGCAGCAGCCCAATCGCTCGCTCACCACTTTAATGCCAGGAGCTCGCAAAGTAGAGTTTTTGCTCACAAGACTCCACAGCTTAGAGGGAACACTGATTGCCAGGTGGAGAGGAGGGGGCAAAGAAAGAGAGAGGTCAAAGAACTGGCGCAGTGAGAAGGCACGGTGCTAAGAACCCAAAGGAACAAGTAAGCGCAGAACAGGGTATCCTAAGAGTGGAAACCCTGTTCCCGGTATGCTGATATACGTTCTAAACTTTTAGATCCAATCTTACTCAATTTGTTGAGCCATTCGGATGCCTTGATGGTGTACTGTCTTCTTAACGACTCGTTAAGGTAGCCCTGTTTTTAAGTTTAGTAATCAAGGACCGAGTGAAAATTGTTTAAATGTTTATATTCAGGTAAGGATGTGCATTCGGTTCATCTGAACTGAATGCACCCCCGAAAATGGCTCATTTGGGCCCCATTCGGGCTGCTGCGAGCCGATTCAGATTCTCTGATCTGAATCTCCCGCAGTTCGGCCACATCTATATATCTAATAGCGAAGTTGCCTCCGGAGTGCGGATCGCTAAATCAGCGCTCCGGGGGCAGCTGGGGGGCCGGGGGAGGTTTGTGCATACGTGGGCCAGTCCCCACGTGTGCACAAAAATACAAAAAGTTTAAAAAAATTTCGGGGGGATGTTTAAATCCCCCC